ACTTGCAAACCTTAGTTTCACGTACCCACTTGCAAATAGTAGATGTCGCCACACGACATCTTTTTGTTTCACCATGTGTGGGTGTCAAACAACAGACAAGAATGCCATATGAAATGAGCTAATTTATGATTTTAGTGGTGAAATGAAACAAATCTATACAAATTGAACCGAGTTTCATCTTCTTATATCATCGAATGGCAATAATAATACTTTGGTATCTTCAGTAATTTTTTGCTCTTGAATTTGATTATCCTTCAGATTATTGATTTGCGCTTAGTTGTGCAATGAAGGCTTGTCCTGGGAACGTAAAATTAAAAAAAAATACTTTCCCGTGTTTCTCTTACGGGGTAAGTAATGTGCATAAATTGAAAATTAGTCAAATTGCATGATATATTACATATTTAGCTTAAATGCATTTAAGGCCTTCAAAAGACGTGCAAAGTTCTCCACTGTTCTCTTTTAAGCTAGTACCTCAAATTGTACATTTTGCAGTACTAGCTGCGTATACAGTATTTCCATAGAGGTAACTCTAAGACTAGAAGGTCCCGAAATAACGTGCTCAACTTTTTGGCTCAGCTCTGGTACTGTCTTTGGTCCCAAGCTAATCGATGCACCCCTCGAAACATAAGAAAATCCATGAACCCCTCATTTTATCTGTCAAACTTTCATAGCGAATCAAAACAAACATTGCGTAGTACTAGAATTTCGACTAGAATGGGCTACGTTAATCGTTTGCTTGGGACCAATAGGCTAGTCAAGTAGTGAGCCAATTTAAAATCGTTAGTTTCGTATTGATTGTTGGTATTTCCACCGGTTGGAAACTAACGATTTAAAAATGGCTCACTAGTCTGTTGGTCCCAAGTACATCTATAAGCGTGCCCCATTCTAGTATAAATTCTAGTACTACTCTATGTTTGTTTTGATTCGCTATGAAAGTTTGACAGATAAAACGAGGGTTCGTGGATTTTCATATGTTTCGAGGGGTGCTTCGATTAGCTTGGGACCGAAGATAGTACGAGAGCTGAACCAGAAAGTTGAGCACGTTTCTTCGGGACCTTCTGGTCTTAGAGTTACCTCTATGGTATTTCCCCACTCCGGCTCTCCTTAACCCGACGTCACGGTCTCTTATGGAGCTTATTTTACATTGGTAATATTTATTTGTATGGATTGGCAGTCAGTTTATTAAATATGTCGGATTAGCAGGGTGATACTGTTATAAGTACGCTCTTACTCGCTGCCAACCCATCCTTTTTTTTCATCATCGACGATAATAGCAATAGCGGCGAAATCGCTCAATTCTCATTTGTTTCGATTAATTTGATGACAATCACATATTTTCGTTTTACAAATCATATGTTTAAACTTTTGTTTCTGTTCTGCTCAAAGACCCACGAGACTAAAAAAAAACAGTTTTAAAAAACTGATTATGAGTTGTGCATACGACTGAAAATCAAAATGACATTTCTCGCTGGCATCACTGGACTTCCTATGTCACTAATGTTAATTTTGACGTCGGACGCGTTCCGGTTTGGTGGGCGCGCGACAGTGAGATGAATTTCAAGCTTGGATTTTATTTATTGTACATAATTTCCGCATTCGCCCTATTCAGATAAAGCTTCTGAAACTTGTGAATTTGACAGAACCACCAGCACCAATTGTTGGGGTACACTGACAATATACTGAAGTTGTCACGTTGCCCCCGGGTTGCTAAAAGATCGCATCGCTCTCCAAACTAATTCCACACATACGAGAAACGGGAAACAGCTGATGGCACTTCCCGGGAAACGAGAAATATTATTGTTCGAAGTCCAGAAAGATCATAAGTTGAATTCATAAGAATGTTTACTCCTTAACTTCTGTATAGCGATAAAGAGATTATAAAGAGAACAGTTTAGCGACTTAATTTTAACATTTTTACTTCCATCGGAAAATTTTCCCGAGCTGCCAACAATTTTACTTCCGACTTCTTCTGGTTTTTTTTTTTACGACTAAGGACCCTCTTGAGTTATTTTTTATCCAGAAAATATTTTCTGAATTTTCCTAGAAGTCTCTTTATTTCCCTAGAAATAATCATCTGATCATTCAATCATCGGAAGCCTCTTCCAGCAGTCCTTCTGGCTTCCGCGGCAGCTTCTTTTACTTTCGCTGGGAGGTTTATCCTTAGCTCAGTCGGTAAAGGCACAGCTACAAAGCAAGACCATGCTGGAGGTGGCAGGGTTCGATTCCCAGTCCGGTCTAGAAATTTTTCAGGTTGGATTTGGTCAATCGTTGAGAAGCAACTACGAATTGTACGGTTATCAAAGCTCATGCTTTCATTATTAGTCTTGAGATTGAATAATTGTTTTATATAGATGGAGATGCTTAACGTCAATATCAAACTTAAGGGGAAGTTCACCGCTCCAAAACAAATAATTGCGTTTTGATTTTTCTAAAAATATCGGAAAAAATATTAAAAATCTATAATTTTTTTTTCAAGGAAAATTCACGTTTAAAACATTTATGGCATAAAGTTGGACTCGAAAACCACAAAACATCGATTTTTGGTTTTGCTGAGGGTCCAATTTTTTTTTGTCATGATGAGATAAAAAAAAATTTCCCAGGAATCTATAGAAAAACTGGTTTTCTTGGATGTTTGATAATTTTTCCCATTTTTTTATTTAAATTTAAAACGGACCGAAGATTTTTTTATGCTCAGTGCGGTAAACTTCCCCTGGACAGTGGACATTATATACGATAGATGAGGAAATGAAAGTATAGAATTGATAGTTCCGTTATAGTACGGCAGTGTGAAAATTATATATCTAGCGTTCAGAAGCATAAGAGCCTAACTGCGATGATCTATTCTCTTCGTCGATTTTCTCGTCGCAATACCACAGTTCAGTGAATCAATTTTTCTGAAACTATTAAAATACAGCATAGTGAAATATTCTCATAGCTAGCAAAAATAACATCAAACGCATCGATAAATGTTAATCCAGTCCTGTTATTAACAAAATAGAAAATCTATGAAGATAATCGATCATCGCAGTTAGGCCCTTATGATTGTGAACGCTAGATATAGAAAGTAGAAAGCGAGCAAAAAACAAAATTGGAAGGAGCGGATCGAGCATTTCCTTTACCAAACTCACCCGTTGATGAGGAGCGGTGAGCGCCTCTCATCAACGTGTGAGTTTGGTAAAAGAAATGCTCGATCCGATTCGTACCTGCCTCAAAATTAATTGTCCTTTGCATTTCATTTAGCTCAAACTAGGAACCTGATAGAAATATTGCTTTCAAGTTTGTTAGGTTCGGTGAAATATGTCTTGAGTCTTGACCTTTCTCATAACTTTACATGATCTTTGATGAGAACGTGTATGCTATAAGTACGATGCTCCTTTTATGTGCATTAATATTTACTCTAGTTTTTCGAGCTGTGTACAACCATACCAACAAAAATGCACTAGTAAACTCATTTCTAATCGGCTTTAAGTACATTTAAACTCAATTTTACATTCTGTGTCATCCTGTAGGTCATCATCAAAGCCATTGAAAACGTTGTCAACTGTATGTAAAACAACAACATTTAACGATAAGCGAAAACATTCAAAATGAACAATCAAAAACAATGCAGTAAACAGTTTTGAATTATCAATATCAACTCATACCATAAAACACACAGAAACATCGAATTGCCCACTTTTGTAATCACTTGTCTCAATATTTATACTGATTTTGCAATCGTTTGCGCACGACAGCGTGGCGCCGTCTAGGTTCGTTTACACCAATACCAGTTTGCCGACGTCAACAGGATTCCCCCTGATGGTTAATGTCCGTAAAATGACCCCCACTGAGTCGTGAGGAATGTCGCGCCGACAGCAACCCTTGTTGACGAGAGGCTCGTTGTGTATGAATCGGCCGAGCAAATACTGTCATACGTGCGGGTACCCGTCTAGTGTACAGTTGATAAGAGGACGGAGGCGCATCGCGTCTCGGTAGACAATGATAATAATGGCCAAGCCAAGAGTGATAAGCCTGTTTTGGCTTAAGTAAAGCGCTGGAATATTCTGCCGAGTGCATTGATTTTTTTACAATGTCTCATTCTGTGTTGGGACGTGAGATAATCTATCCTCCAGGTCGAATCCGTGGAGATTGCGCAATCTTTTATTTGTACTGGAGGAGGCAACCCGAGCAAAGTCGGTTAACAAAATTAAAGCCAATCGATATTAAAGTTAACTGGAACAAAATGAAATCACATTTTGATATCAACTGTTAAATTTCATGTGTCGTTGAACTAGCAAAGTCTTTCAGTGTGAGCAGCATGGATACTAACCAATTACGCCAAGCCCGCATTAAGTTAAATATCTTGCATGCAAAATCAGTAATCAAATTGATTTCATTGAAATCAAGATCAGTTTTCCATTTTATTCAACGGTGTAAAATTATGCTCTTAGTTTTACTGTGTTAACCGTCAATCCATATAAAACGAGTAATCATAAAAGGCTACATCATAACAGCAAATTTGAACTTCAATTTGATCTCCAGCTTTGCTCGGGAAATGCGTGATACGGGACACGAAAACACAAATGTTTCGACTTGTTGAGTGTTATGTTACCAACCCAGCCCCCTGCGGGTCGAGTCGAGTTTAATCATCCTAACAGTTTGTTGATTTGTTCCACTCAGTTTATTAATAGCTTGTTGATCATTTTGGGTTCTGAATAGAATTCGGCTCCCGGCGACAACAATGACGGCAGCTTGTTCGTATTCGCGAGGCAAGTGGAGTATGTAAATTGCAACCAATTAAAATTGCAAGTAAATTGACCGCACTAAGCACTTGATGCAAATTGCAAATCCAACGTGCTCAATTAAACTTTTGCCATTGCAAGTTCACTCTACAAAGGGCTCCGATAACAGGCTCATCAACCACAAACAGTGCTTCATTCATACTACACAAGTGACTGTGATTCAATTATAAATAACAATCCGTATACTCATGTCGTTCTTCCTTCTATTCCCTATTGCAGGTAATGGACCAAGTGGAATATCGTTGTCCTACATGCTGGCAGGCAATTGGCCATATTGGTCGCCGGACAAAATTCAGAGGCATCCGGACGAGCTGCTGCGAGCCCGGCTCAACTACTACGACTCGCAAAAGAGCCTGGTAGAGCATGATCTCTTCAGTCTGGCGGACGGACTGGAAGGTCGCAGCACTAATCCAGTGTCACTGCTGGTAAGTGATCAGTGCAAACGAGAATCATACCTGCGCTTCCTGTATAGCTAACAACTTATTGTCTTTTTCCACTTTCAGCTGGACAGTCTGCAGCATCCATGCGCTGACCTTGGCATGGAATTACCCTGCATGGTGGAATACCAATCCCACCCGGAGAAGGAAGTGAGTATTTCGTTGATAACAAAAGCGCTTTGTATATTGGGATTGGACTAACGGCATGGGCTTATCTCGACGACGGCTTAGTGATGCCAAACACAATTTCTGTCCCAGCAAACACGTGATTCAGCAATATTTAGTGAACGATTTAGAGCCATTCAGAACTGGGAGAATGCGGATGCGTTGCAATGCAGGAGGATTGTCGGTTGGTTTTCAATCATCAGTTGTCTATTTGGTACAGTGCAACAAAAGCTCTCCTATCAATCCCCTTGCAGGGTTGCAACACTACCAGGAAAATTTGAATTTTTATGGTCAAGGCTGTCGGACGTGATGAAGTTAAAGGAAGACTTTTTAAATGAATTTTGATAACATTGGAGATAATTACTAAAATATTCTGAAGAGAACCAATCGGGAAATTATTCTTAAACAATTCCGAGAAGAGTTAGTAAACTTCAAGGAAATTCTGACATCTATTCCAAGAGAATTATGATAATAATTCCAAGGGAATCCAAATCTGAAAATACCAAAGATGCCAAGAAAATTTATATTTTTCGACAGAATTGCAAGGGGACATTACATAGGGAATGCTGAGCAGCATTCCGTGCCATAACTATATGACATAAGAGTACACTAAACGTTAGCTACGGGAAATTGTTTTTTGAATATTTTGTCTCCTGCTTACTTTAGTCAAATTCGACAGTTGCCAAAATAGTTCAAATTTTATTGGAAATCAAAGGGAATTTGAATCTGACGTTAATTCTCAAGGATCTCTAAGTAAAATTCCAATCTATCACTTGGTAGAGCAGTTTTGGGACGACCTTCTACCAGAGACTTTACAAAAATAAGGCAATAAATTGCAGATAGTTTAGGCTTATCATTAACAAAAGCTCTTCTCAACGTTCTTAATGAAAATCTCAAAATATAAGATCGAGTTTTAGCACTATCGCGGATTAGCATCTCAGAATAGTGCTATACCCTATTTTTTTCCTCTGTTCGGGACATACATCCACTGTGACCAGTTATTTGATCTATTGTGGTATACTCCGTGTCTTTAGTTTAGTGCATGTCGTATTTCTTCATCACTATTGAGAAATGATGAAGTATTCGGTTTTGATACAGTTGTCATTCTTGCCTTTATCGCAAGGATCTGACTCTAATTTTAAGGTCCCGCTCTTTATACCCTTCGGAGTGATGGAACACCCTCCAAAGTGCGTCAGTCGAAATCGGATTCCTTCGCAACAAAATCAAGCAATAATTTCGATAACGATCATGCTATCATGCTATCAGAATCCTAGTTTTAACAATTTCAAACTAGATGAAAAATAACTACCTAACTCATTTTTCCCTGTTTCAAGATCATCCTCGGTGGACAAAGCCGAGTCTTACACAAGGCATACAAAGTAAAAAGGACTTAGGGGTGTTCCTTTGATTTCAAAAACAATCCTGTTCCCCTAGTTTGAAGTCGTTCGGTGGAAGATTTCAAAGCCAGTAACTCACCAAGAAAAGGTAAACCACCAAGCGTTACTGGGATAATACCTATATATATATAGTTTTCCGACGTATTATTTGATCCCCAAAAACGGAAATCAGAAAATCCGGGAAAAATTTACTTCATCTTTTCTTCGAAAAATAATAAGATTTTGTACCTTTTAAAAATTTCAAGCTGCTTGGACTGGACTAGATTCTCAGCATACAGTCCTTTTGTAAGAACTGTATGAATTTCCAAATAGTCATATCTTGTGTAAACAAATATTCAAACGTTAATTTATCGAAACTCTTAGTTAGCCTATGCAAACTAACCTCATCAGGTGCTAGGGTAAAAGTTTACCAACATTATGGTGCTGTTAGTTTGCGTGAGTGAGTCAAGAGTTTCGACAAATTGACCTTTGAATCTTTGTTTACAAAAGCAGATATGACTATTTGAAAATTCACTTTTGTATTAAGAGATTTTAGAATAAATGTCAGGGTATTTCAGTGGAAATTTAAGGAAGTTTTGGAAACAACTCTAAGAGAGCTTAGACTTTAACTCCAAGTAAATTGTGTAAGTTCAGAATTGAATTTTTGAGTAGCTCTGTGGAAAATTACAAGACGATTGTAAAGAGGATTCCAGTATCCGTGAAAAATATCAAGGGAATCTAATTTTGAGGGTACAATTATAAAGAAATTTAAAATTTTAAGGAAATTCCAAGGAGACTTCCAAGGGCATCACGAAAATAATTTCTAGAGGATTTAAGGACATTTTCCAGTAAAATTTCTGAAGGATGTAGGGGAGAACTCCAAGATAATTCTGAATTGCTTGGGAATTCTAAACAGATTTCAGGCGGATTTTAAATAGAATTATAAAAGGAAGCTTCAGTAAATTCCTAGAAAAACATCTTTCAACTTTCTTGATGTGATTGGATTGATCTAATTTTTTGACTGACTCCCAGAGAAAATCTCAAACTAATTTTAGAAAAATACCGAAATAAACTCTGTGAGGGGAAATTATTCTTAAATGCTTAACAATATCTCAATGAAATCCTGTCTTAGTAATAACCCGTTTAACCTAATAATACCTTAAGCTTAAGGGTTTATGCTTAATTTTAATGTATATCGCACAACCAAGAAATTGTTAATCGGGATCCACTGGTCACCATGATTTGAGAAACCCTATAGTATTCTTCTAACCCCCAGCAGAAGATTCCTGCAACTTCTTCTGAAAGTTTATTTCGTTTTTTAAAACTGGCTCTGAATGTTTCTTCTGACTGACAGTACAGGACGATTTTAAAGATTTCTCCTGGAAGCTCCTTCCGACTTCCCCCAGAAGTCCTGCTGACATGACCAGGAAGTTTCTCCCGATTACTTCTGGAAGTTTCTCTAAACTTATTCTGAAAGTTTCTTCCGACTTGCCCCGGAAATTTCTTCCGTTTTGGAAGTTTTTCTCCCAACAGAGTCGTGTAGCTTCCTCTGAAAGTTTCTTTCCTGCTTTATCCAGAAGTTTATTCTACACACTTAAAAAAAATCATGTAAATTTAGGTGCTCTGAGACTGACATATACGAGCGTCATTTTTGACATAAAATTGCGTCGTAATAGACGTAAAACTCAGCTCAATCAAATGTACTTTTCGTCGAGTACCGAACTTTTCAGTCTCGGAGCACTTAATTTTACATGACATGTTTGTTTACGTCTCATCCTTTAGGTCAAAGATGGATTCCGTCACGTGTAAAATTAGGTATTTCTAAGTGTGTACTTCTATGGAAATTCTTTTCAACTTCTGCACAGGAAGCTATGCGAAGTCTGCAGGCGTGCGAATTGTACGGATTTTCACGATGCGCGTGCAAAACGATCCTCTTGCTTGGACGCCATTTTGATAACTGAAAAGCAAATGTCAAAATCATAATATAGGCATCATTCTGCACGCACACACTTACAAAATGAGGGGTGTTCAGGTTTTTTAAATGCTCGATTAAAATAAATGCGTCCAGTTCAACCAAATTTTGATCGTAACACCCTGTAGAATGAACACAAAGTAGCGATTATTGCTGGATATTTCAAAATTTTCAGCTGGAGTCATTTTCAACTGATTAAAGCATTACGGATTTAACAGGAGATTTGGAACAAACTTAAAAACTAAACGACTACATTATTCGTAGTTTACAACAGTTTTAGTAAAATTTTATGCGTTTTTTTTTCACTTGCGCGCTGTTTGCGATAACTTCTTCAGCAGTCATAGTCTCGTAAGATTCATGAAATTCGGAGAGAGTAAAATAGGGGTGCCATGGATTTGCTCTCTTTAGAAGGACTTATATTATTTTCGAAGATCGCTGATCCTATCTGTAGTTCGTCGAACCTCTCCGTTTACCAAGCTTCACATATTCTCAGAAGTTCTCAGATACCGTGGTGGCCGTCTTTGACCCAATTTGTTGGAAGTGTTTGATACCTTTGATTCCTTGCTTCTTTACAGAAAGCTTCCGCTTTATCAGAACCTAATATCTCTCGATTGAACGTAACTCTGGACAATTTGGCGGATTTGCGGTTTTTGGTACAATATTCACTTGATTTGCTTCGTACCACTCGATCACAGTTTTAGCCCAGACAAACAGACATAACTCTTGCAAGTTGTTTATCGAACAAGCATTTAACGGTAAATTTAAAAGTATCGTACTTGGTAGTGCCGCCACCCGTAGCGCGCATAGTCAATTCCCTTGCATTTGACGTTTACACACTACCGCCATCTGTTCAGCATACTACCCACCACAGTGTAATCAACAGATGGCGGTAGTGTTTTAGCGACGATGTTTCACACTGAGAAATATTCAATGAGTTATGTCTGTTTGTCTGTGGTTTTAGCATAATGGCATGATGCCAAATTGGGTGTTTCCTTTGTGGCTTTTGATGAAGGGTACACAGATAAAAATTCTGAATTTTAATTGTGATTTAAACATTCATTCAGGTAGACTTGTATTTCATTTCACGCAACCGAGCAACTTGCAAACAATGTTATTTACAAAGATGGGCTTTTGTATACAATATTTGCTACATTGCATGAAAAGTGTCAGAACTTTACATGATATATAATGCAAACGTATATGATATGTGACGCTCCATTTATGTGCATCATATTGAACAGAAATTTACACTACTTTTTCGAACTGTGTAGCAATCGCTTCTGCAGGCACTCTTTCTGGTAAATGTCATGGAATGTAAACACCAATCATAGTCTTTTCCATCAATGACTTCCAGCTAAAATATACAATATTTCTCGCGTAACATTTGAAAAAAATCTATCCTCGTTGATCGATTCTCTTCATCGACACAGCTAAAAATTCTGAATTTTAATTGTGATGTAAACATTAATTCACGTATACTTGTATTTCATTACACGCAAACGAGCAACTTGTAAGCAATGTTGTTTACAAATATGGGCTTTTGTATACAATATTTGCAACATTTCATTAAATGTTTCAGACCTTTACACGATTTTTAATGTAAACTTAGATGAGATGTGACGCTCTCTTTATGTGCATCATATTAAACAGAATTTTACACTACTTTTTCGAACTGTGGACTTTCTCTTTGGTTTACCACGGCAACATAAACGAATTTTTCGTTAAGCTCTCAGCACAGTTCGACAGAAAATGATATAAGCTTGCGCCTGAAACAACAACATTCATTTGCAGTCGGGTTATTCGCGAAAGAGAAAATCGATGAAAAGAATCGATCAACAATGATAGGCCCTTTTCTCGTGTTGCGCGAGATTTCAAAAGTTACAGTGATTTAAATGTGTCCGGATTAATGTGAATTTCGAAGAAGATCAGTGATTTTCAGATATCTTCAGCAAAATTTAACACCGAACATTATACACAGCAAAAAAATAATTTTGATATCACATCAAAGTGGATGCACTACAATCATGTCGAAAATTTCATGTAATTTTTATGACCACATAAATAAACAAATGCAGTAAAAGCAGCGTAATGTCAGTTCATGCATTGTATTAATGATAATTTTGTCCTTTTTAGCAAGTAATATTACACCATATTTTCGACATGATTGTAGTGCATCCACTTTGACGTGATATCAAAATTATGTTTTTGCTGTGTAGTTGTTTCTGAAATATCAAGTGGATTCAATGATCGATCACCTCACATATGTATTTCTATTCTATACATTTTTTTTAATTTCAGGAAGAACTCGTCGAAGATGTTTATGGGGCCATCAGGTCACGAACTGTTCATTTGCTAATAACTTTGCACACAGTTGACGAAACATAGTTCTTTTTGAAGCAGTAGATAGAATAGAGTTTCAGCTTGTAATAGATACGTAAACACAATTCTATAGTAATAAACTGTATTTGAAAAAACAAATTTCAACAACTGAGTGAAAAGTTATTAACAAATGAGCAGTTGGTGTGAACATTTGTGCATGCCGAGCAGGCCCTCAGGATAAGCTAAGGTTAGGTTGAGAGAAGGTCAAATGGACCTCAGACTAGGTTCAGCTTTCTTTAGAAAAGTTAAAAATAGAGAACTTAAAAATATTGAATGAAAATTGAAATGCATTCGAAACCTTTTTTTAGGAACCTCAGTGAAAGTACTTTACAGCTGTTCAGAGAACCTAAACAAAATTCAAGACACATCAGAAAAAAACTTTGAAAACATAAATGTATTTCAGTCAGAAAGTCTTATCAAAATTTAAGAAGGCTCAATGATGTATAGTAACCGTTCGATTTTTTTTGACACCGTGCCAAAATCGAACGGATTTGGAAAATAATGTATTTTTGCTCTCTGTGATTACAATTTTTAATAAAAGATTAATTATTAATTTGACGTTAGATAACTCACGGTGGTGCAAAATCATCGAAATCATAAATTTTAACAACACGTCCGTAAATGTTGCCAAAATCGAATTGGTACTGCATAAGGCATTTCGTAGAAGTTTTGGAAATTCTTGGGAAGTCCAAGGAAGTCGTATCTTAGAAACTGTGTAGATTAGACATCTTTATTCATACAAATGGGCGGGATTTGCTACTATTTAGCTTTTAGGCAGGGAAACTAGAATAAGTGTGACATTCAGACTTACACATCACTCTCTATTTGTGCATAAAACAATACATTCTTTAAAATGTACTTTCCATACCGTTTCGCGTGTATTTGGCGGGATATTGATACAAAATTGGTGCGGATTTGGCGTTCAAATTTCTCGTAACAACATTGAAAATGTAATTTTAAACTGCTCGAATGTTGTGATTTACTATGAGAAAGCTTTCGATTGAATTACGAAGAAGTTTCCAAGGTACTTCTTAGCAGAATATTGAAGACCTTCTGGCAGCATTTCAATTGGGAATTTTGAATTAACAAGAAGAGAGAAGAGATCCTGGGGAATAAACAGGAGAATTCGAGGAGAAATTCAATGGCTATTCTGAAGGGTTATTAAAGAGGAATATTCAAATGCAATTCTAAAGAGACGGGTGGGCAATTGCCAAAAAAGTTGTTTAACTTCAACTAAACAGCGATTAAGGGTGGCTTCCAGCAAAACTCATTGGCTTTATAACAGGATGTAACGGCAAAGATAACGTATATTTGCATTCACATCAACAGAAATGATTTACGACTCTAGTAATCAATTGACCTACTTGTACACTGAATCTGGCCTTATCAGATTGCATGAGTGATAATGCACGTGATTTTTTAATATTATCAGTTGATGAACACCTTCATATTGACTTAATAAGTGTTTGACTTATTTTAAGTACTTTCCAAAGATATCGTTCTACTTCCTTTTTTAGTCGCAACCGTAACATGCTTGCATAACGATATTGTTCGGTTTCAATTCAAATTACCATCACAAGCGCACATCCTGACAGGAAACCTCGTTGTGCGTAAATAGAGCATGAATATTGTCGTCCGTCGTTGTCACATCCGATAATTATTAAGTACATGTATGCACATTGCCATTTTCGTATCGCACATCTATACTATATTAATTCACATTCGATTAAGCACCTCAATCCCAATCCCAAGCAGCAGAGGGTGGCATCGTAGCTAGGCTACAGAGAATGGAAATAAATTAATTCGAGATAATGGTGTGTTCACACTTCAAATGTAGAACATGTGCTATTGGAATTTTCCATCCAGGATGCTGCTATGTTTACTATAGTGATAACGCCGTTGTATTAACGCTTCATGTGCCAATTAAATCACACATCTATTTCTTTCTTCTCATTGCAGATCGATCATCTTGTCCTAGGTCGAGGTCCTCCGGGAGGTTCCTGGCATCGGATGGATCCGAACCTGCGCACCCTTTCCCTGGCCGCGTGGATGTCCCTGCCCGGTTTATCCTTTTCCGAGTGGGAAAAGAAACACCCACCAACGATCGACCCCGCAGAACTGAGCATCAACGGGTCGCCCCTAAGCAATAACCACCATCCGTACCTGCCGCCAGTTGGAACCGAGGAAGGCGTTAAAATCCTCAAATCAAATAATCACCACGGTGCTAGCATTAATCGTAATAGGAAGATACTTATCGGTAGCAGTAGCATAAGTGCAAATCCTACTTTTAACGACTCGTGTGATAAATGTAGTGAACTGAATCGAGAGCAGCAAAAAGTGCCCTTACTGTGCAATCGATGTCGCATCAACAGCAGTAACAACAACAATTCCGCAACACAAAATCAAAACAATCTACGGCAGCAGAACAGTATCGCATACGAAGAACGCAACGGTAAAGTCAATATCAAGCTTTATCCACCTAGGCGGAACCTATCGCTGAAGAGGCAACTTTCAAAGGAAGTTGAAACAAGGGCACTGATTTCGCGAGTCGCACAGTACTACGAAAGTTATGTGGATGAGATGAATCTGTCCAAGTACTTTATGAACGATACTATCGTGACCACGGTACTGCCGTTGGACTTTTCCGCTGTGAGTACTCCAGTGCCGGAAAGGTTGCGCAACGGACGATGGATTATCTCAGGGTAAGTGTTCATACCTGGAAACACCAAGAACAATGCACTTATGCAACTCTTTCTCCTCTATTTTAGATTTGACCGCATAACTAACAAGCAATTCACCGTGGTGTGCCGCAATTTGGTGATGGCCAACGGAGCCTCTGACCTGGCCAATCGACTGGGCGTAAAGGGAGAAGGCCTGGAGATGCCTTGGGTTAAGTACGAATTGCCCCAGTTGGAACATGCACTAGAGAAAATTGACGATGAAGCACGATCCCGCCTGAAACCGGTGCTGATCGTCGGTGCCGGTTTGAGTGCTGCCGATGCCGTCACCATTTGTCGATCGTCGGGAATCCCAGTGATTCACGTCTACCGAAACCGAACGGCCGGATTAGACAAAATGCTACCAGGCAATGTGTACCCGGAGTACCACGAAGTGCACAAAATGATGAAGGATTCAAACCGAAAGTATGACCTGTACACGCCGCTACCGGAACATACTATTGCAGACTTGACACAGTCTATGAGCAATGGAAAATCTGACTCGTATCGAGTTACCGTACAACATTTAAAAACGGGTGAACGACGCGAACTGGAAGTGTCCTTTTGTGCTATACTGATTGGATCCCGACCGGATCTCCGATTTATAGCAGGGCTAACCAAGGGATCAACACAACAAAACGGTCACGAATTCTGCATTCAAAACAGACATGCCACCAAAGAGGATTCGGAAGCAACATCGTGCGAAAACAGGGCCCTTCAACCGGTGGCTATTTGGTCTATCACTGAGCAGTTGCTAGCATCTAGGTTGGGACGGAAACTGTTTTGGTTGAAGAATATTTGCGCCAAGTGTCGCCATTTGAACGTATGTGAGCGTAGCCGGTACAAGCATTATCAGCAAGCCGGCCCTGGAACAGGTGAAATCAAAACGTCTACAAATTGTAGCCATAATCTAAGTTTGCTTGGTAGAAATTGTGAGTGTACGCTTCCGGTAGCTACCAGCATTAGCGATCACAACGCTAGTACTGCAGGACTAGGATTAGGCGAAGATCCAACCAAACCGATAGATTGTAAGAGCAACCCTATCGATGTAGACAAGTACACTAATGCGGTTCTTCGGTCTCCCTACAAAGGGCTGTTCGCGATGGGACCGCTGGTGGGCGATAATTTTGTCCGTTTCATCCCCGGAGGAGCACTGAGCATCACTTCGGCACTGCACAAACTAACCGAGAATGACTGATATGTTCCGGTGAGAGAGGCAGTGCGTGTGTTCTTTGTTTGAGGTGCTTAATTTCTGGGATATGAAATTGTACCTCTTGTCATTCCGTTGTTCTTTCGACCCCATGCGGTCAAGGCCGTCGGAATTATTTTTGAAAAAAAGACGCTTCATGGTCTGGAGCACTTAATTTTGGAATCAGATTTTGTGCACGGTCGCTGAGACTAACTCAGTAATAGAGACTTTCCACTCAGTTGTTGAGAAATTTCTAAAACCACGGTTACTCAGCTCTGAGTAATTGTAGTTTATTGAAATTTGTCATACAGCTGAGTTAAGAAGATTCTCGCACTGAGTTAGTCTTAGCAATCGTGAAGTTTAAAATCACGCCAAGATGGCGCTGAGTTTTTCTTACTCGAGACACAAACCTATGTGGCGTTACGTTTTATGTCAGTGGAACGCATAATATTCTGTAGGGATGTCGTGATCTTTATTTTTATTACGTTTGTATTTATCATATAATTTTAACTTATTAATGTATAATAGCTTTTTCTAATTCACTGATTTTAGACGCATCCCATTCTATACAAGTGTAGATTTTGTTAGTTTTTTGCTGTCCCCGGAACATTCCTGCCTTGTCATTATCGAATGCACGTTTCTTACGAATAGTAGCAATAGGCGTTTGCCTCAAAATGAGTAAATCTAGGCAACAATCGAAGATTGTTAGTAACGTAATTGTTTTGTATACGAAATTTCATAAGTAGATAAAGTCAGCTTTGAATCTGATTGAATCGATTTTTGTTTATAATCTTGCGATTCTTTAGTTACACATTCTAAGGTAAACCGCCGTTCCTCGTTCTAGGCTACTTCTCCGAGCCTTCTTAATCATTCCCTCGTGCCGCCCTCCAGTATAACCCAAAGTTAACAATGCCATACCGAACAAAAAAACAAAAGTGAAATACTACCGATTGTAATTCTAAACCCTAATAATCTGAAAACAGTTCAACCACCCTTTGTCCCCGTTTCAAATGTGTTTGATGCAATTTTGCTGATCACACAACAGGGTGTCGTACGGCTTCCTCAGTTTTTAAACCTATTCCCAGGAGAAGCTTTCCTTAACCATGAACAAGCCTCAATCTCGGTCAAAAGATTTCCTGAAACGGGATATCAAAACTGAGCACTCAACCAAAAGATATACACCCATATTCTCGTTTACGTTCGAACCGTATTTTCCATACAAAAAAAAAACTGTATGAAAAAAAAAAACGGTTTGAATGAAAAAGGAAATATGGGTAGGTCGACTGATGCAGCCATACGCCACGCTCTTATAACTACTAAAATTGTGGAACCGAATAGAGACTGATTTGTATAAATGAGAATAGCTAGCTCTTAGAACGTGATATGATCAAATGGACCGCAAATCTTAAAAAAAAAAAAACATTAAACTCCTCCGATTTCTCTCTATTACCAGCATAAGAGTTTTTGATATAACGCCATCCTGTCCATTTCTTCATAATCTTACTTAAGTTAAAAAGAATATTCTAACTCCTTGCTTGTACAACAAGCATTTCATTATATTGCAACCTATTTAAGAAGCGTTTCTTGCGAATATAGATTAACTAGTGTGCATAAAGTGAAGTTTAATATTGAATCTTTCGCAGTTTTGTAGTCATAACCTTACAACAAATTCTCTGCTGAGCGTTTGTAGAATCCCTTCATAGAAAGGATTAGTGCAGATGTTTACAGGTTTTACGTAGCACGAGCAACGTTTGTTTTGCGATTCAGTGCAATTGTTCGTTAACAGAATTGAATACCTAAATGGAATCCAACATATATCGAGGCAATTAAACATTATTAAACAGGGTAGACTTGAAGTCGAATAAAACAAGTTCAATTTTTTAGACTAGTGAAACACTACAGTTATTTTCCTTCGTTATGGAACCCAAAGTTGTTCTACTTTTTCTGCGGATTGAAAAGTGTATAAACTGTTCATATTTGATACAAGTTTTACGGTTGTTATCCTTTTGTCCTTAAAAATATACTTAGTTTACTGTTGCAATGAATTGTAGAAAAAGATCTGTTGGTTATCCGAAATATCCCTGTGGTCAGTATAACATAAAAATTTTCATATAAACAATAGAACGCCGAAATATCCCTGTGGTCCGCATAGGATCAAATTTATTTTACACGGCCGTAGAATCTGATTCAATCTGATTAGGTTTCGTTTACTCACTTTCGCTAAAACCACGGTTGCTCATAGACTGAGTAAAAATCTGCTTGAATTTGAGTAAATATCACTCATAGTTGACCATATTTTGCACGTGATTTTGTATAAACGGAGCTCAAATTTGTGTATTGTAAATAGAACCCATTTTCTTTAAATGTCTATCTAATATTTTTCCACAAATCGAAAGTCGTGGAAGTCGAACCACAAAAAAAAAATCTAGGTTTTTAAATTGTCATACTTATTAATTATCATACATTGTATTTCACTATATATTGTATACACATTACATTTTTAACTTTTAAATTTAACAAAAATAATCCATCCATTCAGAAAAAAAATTCCAAACATATCTGAAACATTGGACTTATCGTTATCAATTATTCATGTTTATTTCAATATTTATAAATTTATTTTGTATTGCATTACTCATCGAAATTAAAATTAAGTGGATGAAGCAGATGAAGCACCAACAATGCATAACATTATATGCAAAATATTTACTATACAGGTTATTTCTCGTCATGCATGACATCATTTATATGAGATTCGATTTTCATTTTATTGTTAGTCCTGTGAATTATACATTAAACTTTTTTTTTTCATTATTGTAGAGTGTCAAGAATAATTACAGCTAAAAATGTGTGTTTGCTTAATATAACCTTGAGATTTCAGTGTTACATCCACCTGATGATGTGAGCTGAGGAGAGCTGCATCTTATTATATGTAAAATATTTATTATTTTCATTGCAGAATATCAGCTATTTTATCCACATAAATGTATGTTCATTATTTCATATTGTTCGGATATATTTCATTTCTCCATAACATATATTTAGCTTATATAAATAAATACTGGGTTGAGAGGGAGCATCAGGGTATTATTTGACCTGAAACTGGACGATGGAGTGGTATGACAACCGGAGTCTAGGAGGGAATAAACACTATCATTTTCTTTATCCTACCGATTCGATTGTGGTGGTGTGAATTCTACTCCAACAGTTTCAGTGAGATTGACGCGCCCTTCTCAACAAACCATCCTGTACGAAGCTTAATAAGTATTGCGAATTGTGTTATTCGATTTGTTAGATCGTATCGTTGGAAGGAGATTCTTAAATTTACGTGGATTTCGTGTCTCTACTTACGGGTTCGCCCTCCGTTTTGGCCCTTCATACAGCGATATTGTGAATTCAGATCGGTAGCTCAAATTGATCTTGCTATTAAGTGGAGCTGCATACAAGACAAGATCTTTGAAGAGATGGTGGCTACCTTACATGCATACATACATCTAACATTTTTCCACAAATCGAAAGTCGTTATCTTGGACTTCAAAATGGCGTTAGATATAGATTTCCTGCCTCTATCTCCGTTCCGATAATACCCATATTTCAACTATCGGTGGAAGCAAAACTGTCCCATGTGTATATGAAAGTCCATGGGACAGTTATGCGTTCACATCGGCAGTTGGTGTATGATTTTTATTGATTCCAAATTCAAATTTAATTACATTTAATTTCAATCTAGGTGCTCCAGCTACTGCAGTAACTTATCAGTCTTAATTGCTATGATATATATCTAAGTGTGTTTACATTGTATGGGTATGAGTTGAGACCAGAAAATAATATCAGTCATGCTGTGTAACTAGCACCATGTTGGTCACACCCGGACATGTTGTGGGTATCCCCAGGCAAGTAGTAAAACAATTTAAATCATGGGGTGCATCGACTAGCTTGGGACCGAGGATAGTACCAGAGCTACTACCATAGAGGTAAATCTAAGACCAGCAGGTCCCGAAGAAACGTGCTCAACTTTTTGGCTCAGCTCTGATACTGTCTTTGGTCCCAAGCTAATCGATGCACCCCTCGAAACATAAGAAAATCCACGAGCCCCTCATTTTATCTGTCAAACATTCATAGCGAATCAAAACAAACATAGGGCCTTATTACGGGTGTAGTACTAGAATTTCGACTGAAATGGGATACGTTAATCGATTTGCTTGGGACCAATAGGCTAGTCAAGTAGTGAGCCAATTTAAAATCGTTAGTTTCCACCGGTTGCCACTACTGGATTGTACTAGCATTTTCACCAAATGTACTAGAATGTTTTGGTTCTATCTCTTTCACTCTACTCAAAACTGAAATGCTTAAAAAATGATAAAATGATACACTCTTTGCACGCTGTCAAAGATCATTGCACACATAATCAACTTTGTTCAAATCAAAACAAAAATACTAGCCCATCTGGGTGCTGATGGCACAAGCTTCTAAGAAAATTCCATTACAGCGAACCACATTATTTTAATTGATTTCATCGCCAGTTAGTTGTCTGTCACTTCGTTTGTGTTTCAGCATCTGATGATGAATAGGGGAACATTAAAAAGAGTGATGATGGCTGAAATTTTCGCGGTGAAGCATAGGAAGAGGAAAATGTTCTCAGCTTTCATGATTAATTTATCCATCGCATGTGCTTGAAACCAGCTCTATATCGATTTTGCAGTAATGTGATGCTTCCACATATTTTTGATGACAAAAATGAAGATTCTTAAAACTGTCCCTGCCTTTTTAATGCACCACCAACGTAGAGTGCGCCACGCGAGTTCGAGAAGAAACGTCAACCAAACCGTTTGTTTACATCAGAATAACTATTTTTCACAACGCAAATTAAAGCATTTTTCATTCAACATCTTGCCAATTTCTATCGGTAATTATCTTATTGTACGATTTTCCACAGATCTGAACTGATTTGTACCTTAACTATTCACACACAAGAAATCCGGAAGATCATAACCACTAAGGCACTTTTCTAATTTTCCATTTTTCTCAACAAAAATATTCCTGAACACCAGCAGAATCTTTGCAAAAACGTTACAGAATTAAATTTTTCAACTGTAGATTAAGTTTTGCAGCATTTCAGATGAATCAATTTATCAGGAAAAGTAAAAAAGTGTTCCGCTTCCTATGTCTCAAGGCAAAAATTTATGCTCACAACACTCTTTTTGACGTTCTCCTATTCACCACCAGAGGTTGAATCGATCGTTTAGTTTCTATTAAAAAGGCCTATTGAGTGTAACCTACACTCAAAGATAAATTAAATCAAAAAAGCTTAAAAAGTATGCATATTTCCGCTTCACCTTATTGAGTCCGAGCCATGATTATTTCGGCAGTAGTCATGAATGATTAAAATCGAAATAATCTTTCCAATATTAAATTTAGTTCTTTTTCAATACTGATATTTAATCAAAAAAGATTAAAATTCAATCACAATTTATTAAAATAGAATCAAAAATGATTAAAATTTATTCAAAAAATGATAATCTACAATCTATTCAACCATGATTACACTGGGATTAATATCAGATGCTTATTTTTCAGAAAGAGAGGATCAATTTTTAATCATTCGATATGATTAAACTGAGTATAATGTCAAATTGATTAAATTTCAAGCAAAATGGGAATAGTTTAATTTATCAGTGTACTCATAAACGGAGCTCTGGTCGACATTCCGGCGAAAAAGCTAAGCCAACCCGACACCAACCTGACTTCTACCAAACCCCAACCCGATGTTAACCCGACATTGACCCGACATAAACCCAAAATTGACCCGACAACAACACGACATTGGGTCGATATCGACCTTAAATTAGCCTTACATTGACTTGTCTGTTCGGGACCATTTTGCTGGGTTTTTTTCCATACTCCACTGTCGTATATCAAATGATAGTGAGTGACTCAATTATGGTCATGTGAGAATTCGTTTACACAGAATTGATTGAATGGTTGTATTGGTTCATCTTCAATCGAATGATATGAAAATTTACAGCACTGCCGACGAACATCGATTGCCATCCATTGAGATTTTTATGCCTCAGAAAAATCCTACCGACCTCGGCTGGGGTTAAACTCAGACCCATTGTGATGAGAAATCAGTCACGCTTACCACTACACCATATGCGCCGGCATTTTGAGCTTTGAAAATCGTCATTATGATGTAAACAAACGTATTGGATGAAATCTCCTCTCAAAATAGACTAGCGCACTCTACATTGATGGTGCATTAAAAGAGCCTATTGAAAAAGCGTTAGGCTCTTTTGATGCGCTAAGCGATTATATGAGGAAATGTCATCCAAGCGATTTGTTTGCATCAAAATGATTATTTTGTGTCTTATTTTACCATTTTTAATCCGAAAGATCATAACCGCTGGAACAATAGGCGAATCCAGTAGAAACTAAGCGATCGTTTCAGCCTCTGGTGGTGAATAGGGGAACCATCAAAAGAGTGATGAGGGTGAAAATGTTCACCGTAAAGCATTAGGAAACGAACATATTTTCTCATTTCGTGATTAATTTAATCTACACCTAAAAATCTATCTATCTAAGAAATTATTTTTTCTATATTATAGGGGAAATGACGGCTTCGGCATGCCAGACTATTTTTGGCAACCCAAATTGAAACACTATTTTCACTGGATTTTCTTACGAAAACACTTCGCTGAATGCATGCAAACGATTCTTTATGCTTTCAGCTTCAATTTGACTATATTTTTACCACTGAGAAAAAGCAATCTAGCAAGGTTTTCTTGAAATGCAACACACGCACTACAAATTGTAGCTGATTTCGAGTTGCCGATAATAGAACAGCAGATTTACATGCACTTCAAATGGAACGGTTGCCGAAGAAAAACTGGTTGCCGACAATACTCGCTCTCACTAGAGAAGATTGGAGCTTTGTAAAAGCGTTTCAAAACAGTTTTTGACAATTCTTTCGACTGAAATTGTTAGAGCAGCTGACAGCAATAGATTGTAAACAAACCAATACTGCATATGTGTGCGTTCCTTAGAG